GCCTCAGTGAACAGGTCAATTTGCCTTTAAATGTCTTGCGGTCAAATGGTTCGAGAACCTCCTGGTTTCGTTAAGCTTGAGCAAAACTTCCTGAGAGTTGACCTATACTACTTGTGCAACACCTCTCTGGAACAGTAATATGTCACACATTATACATAATTATTCCAACAGATGGCTATGAACACATGCACATAGCACACAGCTTTATGCATTATAACACTACACAGATACATTTATATACACTTATTCTAACACTTCCCATCCAGGAAGATTTTTCAATTCGAATTGTCAGAAATAGCATTGAGTTCAAGGCGTCATAGAGTGAACCAAAAACAAAGCCTTGTTTTTGCTTAGAGACATGCACATTGAACCCCTGTTCACATTTTGGATGGAGAGGAATGGTGGTTTGAGGGGGGCATGAAGGAAGCCATCCATGTTAAGAATAAACAACTTTAAACAGAGGGGTTGGACAGATATCAGCTTTTAAAGACCTTCAATTCAGCAATTGAGTTGATTTCTTCCTGCTATCATCGCAACCCCCACCCCATTACAGGGGAACAGCACACCTCTCCTCTTCAGCCCGGCCAACAATAGCTTGGTTTCACGTGACGTCACAGTGCTGCTTCGCGACGCTGCGAAACTCAGATGGAGGGCAGGAAGTGAAGTAGCTGAGGATCTGCCGTCTGAAATAATGCCTATGTTTTGTGTAGTTTACTGCTTCTCCAATCGTTCGAACCGAGAAAAGGGAAAGAGCTTTTACAGAGTACCAAAGATTGTCGTTCATAAAGGTGAAAAGTGTAAAAAGCTCACAGAACAAACCTACGTCTGCGGTCTGGAGGAGCAGAGTCTGCCAATGCCCGTGTCTGCAGCGACCACTTGGACGGAGGTAAACTATAACGTATTGTTAGCTAGCAAACTTTTTTTTGTGGTTGTGTTTATATAGCATAGCTCATTTACTTAGTAATGATTAATAAGTTACCGGTAGTCTAATATGGACTTCATTGTGACAGCTTACGCTGTCCTAGCGCTTTGGGCTAGCCGCTACTGGTAATGCTAGCATCTTTTAACACATAAAGCAATATAAGAACAAACACTCATCCTGGCGAAGACTAAACGATGATCGTCCTGGAGACGTTTGGTGCCGAGGTTGTGGACCCACCCGCAGACAAAGAAGTTTTATGCCTCCATACTTTTATAGGCCTTCATTTGCTGTTTGGTGTAATACAACGTCTGAAGGACCAGATAGTTCGTTATGTCAACGGCCTCCACTGTCGGCAAATCTTTAAGGTCCACCAAAAACTCACTCATCTTCATGAGGTACGGGTCACGTCCAACATATCTGTCAATCAACTCCTTGTATCTATGTCTTGAAACGGGCTCTAACTCCATACGCTACGGGCTCTCGGTAACGGTGTCCTCCATGTTTACGCTAACTTCATAGACTTCCTGCCCTCCATCTGAAATCGCGCCCCCTGGCCGCGTCATAATCATCACGTGACTGAAACCCGCCTATTCCCTTTTAAGATCACCCTTTCAGAGACATAGACAGGTTTCAGGTATTACAGGCTAACAAATAACCCAAATGACTCCTCATTCCTAAGGGACAGACCCACTCATCATGTTCAATTTGCATGTTTCTAAGCCAAAACAAAGCTTTGTTTTTGGTCCACTTAAAAAAGACTCAAACTCAACGCTATTTCTGACATTTTCATTTAAAAAAACGTACTGGATGGGAAGCGAAAAGTCTTCAAACTTGGAAACAAAGTCTAGTGGATTGTTATTTATTTATTTATTTTCATGTTTTGGAACCTCTGAAATGTTCACAGGATGGCTACTTTTATAAATTACAGACTTGGTTAACTTTAATAACTTTTCAAAACATTTGGTTTCCTCAATTGTAGCAAGCAGATCAAGTTTATTTCTGTTGTCCAATAATGAGGCCCAACCTAATTACATCCCATCTTTTATTTAGATGAATCAGACATGGCGGGGGAGTTTGCTCCTTTCAGGGGGTTTACAAGGTCTTTTAGAGCTGTTTTTGGGGAAACCCAACCAAAACGACTCTTTGGAGTCCTTTTCACCACAGAATCTGCCTTCCAGATGTTTGGACTGTCCCAGTGAATGGCCTTATGATGGTTTACCGCAACACTTATCCTCGGTCAGACTGACAGAAAATCAGGGAGACAGCTTCCCCTAAACCTGGCCTTGAAAAGATAAAACAGACGGACAAACACTGAACTGCTGTTTGAGGTTTTTTCATTTTCCCGCGGTGTTTTCTTCCAGCTCAGACCCACGAACAAAAATGCAGAAATATCACCTGCCAAAAGAGTAGTGATGCTTAAAATGAGACATTTGGGACTGAAAAGATAGATGGAGGACAAGAGGAATGATTCACCTGCAGCTCCTTCAACGTCCGCTTTCAGCGCGCTGTTAGGGTTGAATGAGCGAACACAGATCTTCACCTCCCGCTGCTATACCTCGATTAGGGCGAACGGCTCAGATCATCCGGATGTTGTGATGTTGGATCGCTCTGATGGGATTTGGAAAAACTATGGAAAAGTACAGAATTTGGATAATAGGGTTTTCTAAATCTGGATAAACATGCAAATGCAACAATCATTCATGAAAGTGTTTTTAGCATTTGTTGCTTTATATTCATCTTAAGGTCAAAAACTGATGGCTGGATGGTCTCCTTCAGGGTCACATTTCATGGATTAAGCTATCGGCATGTCCCCGTGTCCCCTGGCTTTTTGGGTTCAGAGAGTTAGGATCATCACCCTGAGAAAAATTATCAGAACAGATCAGTTTTTCACGATCTGATCCTGATTATTTCCTACGTTTTAGCCGAGATGTGAAATAGGAAGTGTTAAAACTGGCATGTCCTTTCTGGAGAAAGATTTGAATGAAAATACTCTGAAGATATCCTGGATGAGTCACCAATGAAATACTGGAGTAATTTTTGTAGCTGAGACTATTTTAGGAACTTTCATCACTGTTTTATGTTTTCTCCTTTCGTAAATACGGCTCTCATTTTGTTCGCTTCGCCCTTAAAGCCTTAGAGACGGTTCTAGAACTGTTTCCAGACTGAAAGACGTCCATGACTTTGTTTCTGATCCGTTGATGAATCTCTTTAGTTTAGGGTATTTGTCTTGATATCTTTAAGGCTACTTCGTGTTGTCAGGGAGGTTCTATTACCTGATACACCTGATATCACAGGGACGGACTGTACCGGAATCAAGCTTGGGTCTAACATTAAAGGAAAAGTCTGGTCATTTTCAGAAATCAAACTTCTGAAAGTACTTTAAACATGAAATTATTACTAATAATGTTCAATAAATGATAAGCATGAGCAGTTCTAGACAGGGGCCAACGGGGGGCAGTGCTACTGTAGCTCATGTCCTGGCCCCTGTTATGGCCCCTGCACTGAAGACATAATACTTTGTTACTTCTTTTTTTTTTCTTTACAAATTCTGTTTTACTAATAATTCAAAAACAATAAGGTGATAATAAGGCTTCAGTGGTATTGAGATAGGATCCCAGTTTTATCTACTATTTTTTTTTTTAATGCTCTACTTTCTACAGGTGAATTTATCAGCTTTTGAGTTTTAATTCAGATTTTATTTAAAAAAAAATGGTAATTTGAACTTAAATTATGTGAAAAATATGTAAAATCCCTAATTCTTGAATGTATATTGACCTAATAAGAAATATACTTTTAATTAAACCTAATTGAATTGAAATTTTACTTTATGCAGCTCTCTCAATTTATTTGAATCCCTTGCCGTGTTTTTTATTTCTCGTTTTTCTGTGCCCCTTCAAAACAACACTGGCCCCCTCCTGGCCCCCTGGTACATTTGGTCTAGGACCGCCACTGATGATAAGTAATTTTAATTCAGAGTAATTTTCATGTGAATGGTCTTTACTGGAGGCCTAACACTACTGCCACCTACTGGTTTGTGACGTCACGGTGCGGTATCGGCTGATGATCAAGTCCCAGTGCTGTATCTGGTGTTTGTCACAACGCGCTATTATCCAAGTCATCTTGAAAACATTCTTCTTCCAAATGTTGGCTACATATTACGTGTTTTTTCTCTGGCCAGAAGTTCGATGGCAAATCCTCCCTCTTCAAGTTGGCGATCCAACGACCAACCCGTCCGTGGAGGATCAGGAATCAGAAAGGTGGAATAACTCTTTTTTTCACTTTTACCCGATGTATTCCAGCATCCAGCTGCCATGCACGTGGGCATTGTCAGTTTCACTATAGCTCTGGTGAATTTCAATGGTGAAGTCCTCTGGAAATCTTCAATAATTGTTGTTGATTGCAGATGTGTCTAGTAGTTCCCATTGATTTAGCTTGTAAAGCGGGGAGAATGGCGCTAGGCTTACCGCACCGTGACGTCACAGCTGGAAGATGGCAGGAGGGAGTTTTTTTACTGATTAACTTTAAATTCATTCAAGCACAGCAAACTAATTAGTTTTAGGTATAAATAATGATTCACTGATTATTTCTTGTTAAACGGACTTTTCCTTTAAACTCAATTGAAGATGGAGGCAAGGGTTGGGTTTAAGAGCTTTTTTCATCTTTATTAACATCTGATTTGTGTTTACTAATGTTTTTTTTTTTTTTTACTATTGTGAAGATTAGTTTAATAAACATTTAAATGTAAAAAGAAACACTGAGGAAATCTGGAAAGGGGAAAACATTTTCTCACCATTGCAGACGGAGTAATTTGAATGATTTTACTTCTCCACGTGTGTGAAGATGGAAAATAACGAGGCTGCTCCGTGCGTTGGGGTCTATTGCTGAGGGTATCCCTGGAGGGGGGGCCGTCAGATTCCAGGTTACAAAAAAGAAAAGACAAAACACAGAGCAGACCACAGAGAGAGTGTGCCATAGGTCAACCAGAGGAGCTTTTAATTTATGGTGAAGCTGCTTCACCTCTGCATCATCTTCCTCCTCCTCCTCCTCCTCCTCTAAGAGGGTTCACCCTCTCCGCCTGTTATCACAGAGCACATTATCCTCCATGCATCTGGAGAGCGCAGACGCCTCTCAACCCCTTCGGATTCTGGAGGATTGCACGCGGTTGGAAAAAAAAACAGCTTACCTGGCGGGATCAGTCTGGACCTACGAACCCAAACCTAACATTTGCTCTACAGAACCGACTTTCTGCAGGTTAAAGGTGAAGGAACTTGGAGACTAAGGTGCTTCTATCTTAATCTCACACCTGGAGGCCACCAATCAGCATGGACTTCGCTCACTTTTGGCTTGTCATCACCACCCTGATGCTGATCCATCACTTTCAAGGTAGGGCTGGTTCTGGAGGTCCTCCTTTAATGTACTAATCTTTCATAAATTGCAAGCTGAGAAGTGTTATTCATGATGGGTGAGGTTCTGCCTACAAGCCAAACTCTTCTGACATGATTTGCTGCACAAAATTGCTTCAGCATGCACCTTGTCTCTGATCAGCATGGAGTATTACTGCGGTCTGCATGGTGCAAGCTCCAGGTTCATGATCTCACAAATAAAAGGAGTGTGTCACCGGGTTAGTGAGGACACGTATCGCACTTTTTTTCTTGGACACCTGCCCTTGGAAGTCCCAGCTTTAATATCAGCAGTGTTAAGCTGAGGTCAAGGTAACTTGACAGCATAATAGGAGCTGAGTAATGTGGAGGGTTGGAACCGACAAGAGGTGAGAAAACGTAATGGGTTAATGGAAAGTTCTTGATTAAATCGCACAACTAAGGCGATCTAAGTCTGGGTGTGGAATAGAATTACTGTTGACTGCAATCCAACAGTTAAAGAAAAGTTTGTCTTTTCATTTTAGTCTTTTTTCTGCTCAATCTTGGCAATGATGGTACAAGAAAAAAAGTCTTCTTTTTCATCTCTTTTACCAAAGCAGTCAGGTTGGATGGTGAAACAGGAATAAAAAAAGAGAATTCTACTCATTTGTTGCAGAAAGTCAATCTTTTTCAAAGAGATTTCTCTATTTAATGTCCCCCTCCACCAAAACAAATTCAATTCCATCTCTCTACTGTGTGCTAACTACTCTTCTTTGGCTTAAAGGTATCCAATAAATCAGATATCTCATCTGTGGCAACATATAATGAGTCTCTTCATGTCCATCTCATGAATTACAGTAAGAGTTTGGTAGATAATAAGTAAATGCATCCCCCCGGGTAGGACTTGCCCAGAGTATGGGTGTGTTTGTGTTTTGTATTCAGTCAAAAGTCTAATTCATGGATGTTTTATTTCCCTGCGGTCTATTCTGCTGCTGTATGCGCTTCCGGAGCACAAATGCATTTTGCAGGATGGAAGGACTTTTGTAACGCCTCTCAGAAAACTAAATATTAAAGTAAAAATGTTCCCCGTCTGCCCATAAAAAAAAAAAAAAAGGTCCATAATGCCTGAGGAATGTGACGCAGAACATCATAGGGGGCGGGGGGGTCATGACTCAACAGAGGAAAATCTGGAATGTATTTGACCCTGGGGCGGTCGGGGCTTCTACCTGCAGGTTCCTGTCTGCCCTTGTGTGAACCCATCGGATAACAACAACATGAAGGATGGGGAACAGCTTTTTGTTTTTTCCAGAGACTCCTCAGATAAAAAAAAAAAATATATATTTATATATATATATATATATATATATAAATATATATTTATATATATATATATATATATATATATATATATATATATATATATATATATATATATATATATATATATATATATATTAGGGGTGGAACGGTTCACAAAATCCACGGTTCGGTTCGATCCACGGTTTCTGGTCATCATTCGATACATGTTGATTGTTTCACCTAAATCCCATAAAAATTGATGGAATTAATGAAAAAATCCCCCAAAAAATAATGGATTCTAATTATTTTAAAAGATCCGCGGAAACCCTGGATCATTTCCGCATGTTTTGCTGCTTTGAATTTAATCATCTGGCGCATGCTCTCTACCATCTCCAAGGGACTCAGAGGGGAGCGGACGGGAGCCACAGAGGAGGCTGTAGGCTTTGCTCTGAGCAGCCGGTCTGGAGCGCAGCGGAGCGCTGACGGAGTATGTGGGATTTCGGGGTTAGCATGACGTGTTGGTCATGTTGCTGTTAGCATAAACAAAACGTGTTGCCCAATGCTTGCACACTGTTGCACTTTTATCCACAACTTTCTTCCCGCCGTCATCGTAGGTCACTCTCAATGCAAAGTGGTCTCATACAGCAGACCTATAAAGTGCTGCTGACTCGTCTTCCAACTCCTGTTCTTTCCCACTCGCCGTTCCGACACAATTCTCCACAACAACTGATTTTTTCTGCTTCACCCGGCTACGCTGCTTCGCTTCTTCTTCTTGTTTACTACTGGTGGTTGGCTTTGGTCGCAGTACCGCCACCTTCTGCTCTGGAGTGTAAACGCTTCGCCTATGAGAAAAAGGAGCAGCGCATGAACCGAACGCAACACACGCGAACCGAACCGAGACAGTTGAACCGAACGGTTCGGATGGTTATTTATATATATATATATATATATATATATATATAAAACTGTTTTCCCACCCCTCTTGGAGTGGTATGTGTCATCCTCAAGCTCGGGTCCTCTACCAGAGGCCTGGGATTTTGAGGGGTCTGCGCAGTATCTTAGGTGTTCCTAGGACTGCGCTCTTCTGGACAGAGACCTCTGATGTTTTATCTGGAATCTGCTGTAGCCACTTTCCCAGTTTGGGGGTCACAGCCCAGTAGGTAACACCGACGACTCCGGTATAGGTGACCGCGGGATCGATTCCCGGCATGGACATCCAGGTGGACCCTTAGGCAAGGTCCTTAGTGCTTAGTGGCCTACCTCAGGCATGAGAGAAACCACAAACGGACGTCGCCCGGGTTAACAAGGTCTGCGTCAGTTGCTAGGGAACCAGGGCAACTTGATGACAAATTGGCTACTGGAACAAGACATAGATGGACGAGAGCAGAAACTTGTGTGTATATATATATATATATATATATATATATATATATATATAGAGAGAGAGAGAGAGAGAGAGAGAGAGAGAGAGAGAGAGAAATTCAGTGGATTTGCATTTTATCCCATGGATTAGAAGTTAACCCTTTAAAGCCCGATCCAAGAATAAAACAAAACAGAAAACTACTTTTTTGGGTTTGAAGTCCTTATTTGCCCTTTTAACAAAATATGTAAAAAGAAAAAACAGAAATACATTTTTGATATTAATAATTTATTACTATGCGATAAGTCAAGATTATTTTTTGTGTAGTCTTCTGTCCTCTGTTATCAGGTATATCTGATTGTGTACAATATGATTTTGAGCAAAGTTTTTACCGATATTATTCAAAACATGTCAGATGCAAAACATTTCAGAAACCGTATGTATCAAATATGATACATTTGGCATTATAGGGTTAATTGAAAAAAGAAACCAGTTCCTTTTCATTTGCGTTTTTCTCTTTTATTCTGTTTCTGAAGACTCAGTTCTGAAGTTTCTCAGACTCTTACAGCTGATGTTCGGGGAAAGTCTTTTAAAAGTTTTTAAAAGCGTCTTCGTTTTACATGAACCCTTCTTAATTGATGGATGTTTTATAAAATGCACAAATTGTTGAGAGAAGGTATATAATCTATGCTTTATGACTGCCTGCCGCTCCCTGGTTTTAGGTATTCCTCAGGCTGCTTGCTCCAGGGAGTCAGCATTTGGCCTTCACACTGGAAAAAAATCGAAATCCAGTTGTTTTTTCTTAAAATAAGTGCATTTGTTCTTGGATTTAGGAGGTAAAGGAGAGATTTTGCCAATGGACCAAGACAATTTACACTTAAAATAAGAAAACACAATTGCATTGTCTTATTTCAGGTGCATTTTATCTAATTTTCTTATTTTAAGAGCAAAAATACTCATTCCATTGGCAAACTCTCTCATTTACCTACTGAAATTAAGCGTAAATACACTTTCTTGAATACACTGCAGTCGCTTTCAGTAGGAGGAAGATCACAGCCTTACTGATGATGACTCAAGTTTTTTCTCAGACTGTTAAATGTTTAAAAAGGTTAAACAAATACAATGAGTCATAAATGAAGCCAAAGAGGTTCCAACATGAACTTCCTGGTGGATCGAAAGGCACCTGCTTGGAAAGTCCCCGTCTCTTAAAAAAAAGAGAGGTAATATTTCAAAGCGGCAGCATTCAGGCCTCAAACTAACTTGGAATCAATAAAAGTCCCTTTATGGCTGCAGAGAGGATTAGGCCCCAACGCTTGTTTTCAACGCAAGATAAAAATGTTTAAAGTGGCTCCTTTATCTATAAATTTATATACACACTGGAAAAAAAATCGAAATCTAGATAAGTAATTTTCTTCTTAAAATAAGTGCATTTGTTCTTGGATTGAGGAGTTAAAAGAGACATTTTGCCAACGGAACAAGATAATTTACTTTTAAAAATAAGAAAACACAATTGCATTGTCTTATTTCAAGTACATTTTATCTAATCATCTTATTTAAAGAGTAAAAATACTCATTCCATTGGCAAACTATCTCATTTACCTACTCAAATTAAGGGTAAATACAATTAATTTAAGACATTTTTACTTATTTGTAGATTGTTTTTCCAGTGTAAATCTAGATAGTTCATTTTTTCTTAAAACAAGTGCATTTGTTCTTGGATTTAGGAGGTTAAAAAGACATTCTGCCAGTGGAACAAGACAATTTACATCTAAAATAAGAAAACACAATTACATTGTCTTATTTCAAGAGCATATTATTAATTGTCTTATGTTAAGAGTGAAAACACTCATTCCATTGGCAAACTAGCTGCCTCTTCAAATTAAGGGTAAATACACTTAATTTAAGAAATATTTACCTATTTCTAGATCTTTTTTCCAGTGTATATACAGAGTGTAAAGTAACGAAGTACAAATACTTCATTACTGCAGTTAAGTACACTTTTTATTAGGGATACACGATCGGCCCCCTATCGGTATCGGCCTTAAAACTGAATATCGGACATCGGCCACCCCACCGATATTTAACCCGATATTTGATCAGCTTCTGAGTTTCTAAAGTCTAAAAAACAAAAAAAAACAAACAAAAAATTACTACTTCTTCTTCCTCAAAACCTTCTTTTTTACAGACTTAAAAACTTCTAAAGACGAGGGAAAAAATATTGATACATTAAAATATCCCAATATCTTCATATGCTGATATATTGCCATTTAAAAACCACCCTGCTATGAACTACGTTGTTGCAGAAAAGCTCCATCTCCAGGCTCTTCCTGTTAGCCCTAGCAGTCCAGCTACCATTTTGAGACTCC